GTTGATGTATGAATCTGCTCTGGCATATCCCAACCAGTGGATATATAGAATCTGTAAGAATACTATCAGACACAGGGCACTCACTACCTTATAAAACAATCTATTATTTAGATGTTGGAAATTCTTTTCCTTTTGTTGAGCTAAAATCATTCATCCCACTGCTTTAAAGACATTGAGTGCCCAGGATGCTCTGTCCTACTGCTGGTGCAGATACAAGCCTCATAGACCTGAAAACCTAAATAACTTCTGGTCATCAACCCTAGTTCTGCACATCAGCTCTAGTTCTATATTTCAGAACTGCAGAGAGTAAATCAAATAGCATAGTTAAGTCTAGGTGCACGTAAACAAACAAAAGCTAGTTAGAGCCGTAAGAAGTTTCCATTCACCACAGTAACCCAAAAAATAGGATAGCTTAAAAAGTGCTTAACAAGAAATTCGTAGATCTGATATGAAGACAACTATAAAAGTTTACTAAGGGCCATAAAAGATGACTTGAATAAATGAAGACATAACATATTCCTGGGTGGGAAGACTCAACATTGTAAAAACACCACTTTTCCTCAAATTAATCTAAAAATGTAATGCAGTACAAATCATAATTTCAAAGTTATTTCTGGCATGAGACCTAACAAGTTATTTTCAGGGCCATCTGGAATAATAAAAATGTGAGTAGAGCAAAGAAGCTCTTGAAAAAGGGATTGATCTACTAGATATTAAAATGAACCATCAAGCTGAAATGATGAGAACAGTGAAGATCAAAAACTCAGTGGAACAATAGAAAACTCAGAACATATATACACATATATGTACCTACATGGACACTAACTTATAAATTCATAACATAAGGTTGAAAGGTGTTAGGACAAGTGGAAAATGATCTAGGAAGAAAATTAAATCTCTACTGTATCTGTCATTTCATATCAAAACACATTCCAGTTGGATTCCAATGCAAAAATAAAACCAGACACCTATTAAAAGAAAGTATACATTACCATTAACTTACACCTGTGCTTTCCAAGCAAAAATAAAAATAAAATCTTTGGCTTTCTAAGGAGGAGATAAAATTAACCACATAATACTTGAGAATGCCTATACCAGCCCTTTCCCTTATGTGAAAACAACAATTAGATATTAAAAGGAAAAAAAATTGGAGAATATTTTTAGCCAACATGGCAGTCAAAAGTTTAATTCAATGTGATAAAGATAAGCATCTCAGTAGGAAAAAAGGACAAAGGGCATAAAATAGGTAGTTCACCAGAGGAGAAATACAGATTGCCAATGATATGTAATTAAAATACTTTCCTCAGCAAAATAGAATACATGTAAATCAGAATGAAATGGAACTTCATTATCCAAATTAGCAGCATGAATAAACTTTAGGGTGGTGAAGATGTGCATGAATGAGCTCTCGCTTACATTGTTAGTGGAAATATAAAGGGATACAAATTTTCTGAAGGATAATTTGGATGAATTTTTCCAACAGATTAAAATTTTAGCCTACCTATTAACCCAGCAAGGTTATTTCTAGGCAATTATATAAACAGAAATCCATACATCAGTCCATAACGATTATAATGATTAGCATTGCAATCATACTAATAATATTGAAAACTATAAACAATTAGAAGTTTGGTAGAATATATTATGCCAAGTTGATATGATATCATCTAGGCAGCCATTAAAAAATAACAGAATATTCAATGTCATGAAAAACATCAACTATAAATTTTTGAGTGAAAAAGCAATTAAAAATAAATGTTTGGGTGAAAAAGCAAGTTACTTACAAATAAAAAAGTATAAATACATACATGTATGCATGTATACATTTAATTAAGTGTAAGTACATGCATATAAGTAGATGGACTCAGACAAATATTACTAAGAGTCATCAATAGGCAGTAAGAATACAGGTAAATTTCATTTCCTTCTGCGTGTCTACATTTTCTAATTCTTCTACAATGTATGTATTACTTTGGTAGTAAGAAAAGAATAAAAAATTTGTCTTTAAAAACAGACATACTTTGTTTGAAGCCACAGAAATCCTTTTTTCAAATGAAATCTTATGTGGGAACCCAAATCATGGAACCAATTGAAGAGGTAGAGCAGGGGAGAGGCCTAGAGGCCTGCTCACTCGGTGGGCATCATTGAGCGCCCGCTCTGCAGCGTCAGTGCTGGGGGATTCTGCTAAGAAACCGCTGTCTGTACACTTCATCCCTAGGACCTGCATGATGTGTTGTAAACACATAAAAGGCCCCGTGGTTGCTGGTTACCTCCAGCATGACTCATAAACTGTTTACTAGCTCATTCCATTTAATTCACTGTAGTCATTGTCCTGTGTTCATTTATTAAGTACTTTTTAAAACACTGTCTAAATTTTAGCTTTGGATTATCTCGGTTTACTTGTGGATTTGAACTAGAAGTACTTCGTCATTACATAATATACCCTTAGAGAATTATAACTTGATGTTGCACCTCAGATTTTATCGAAGGTCGATATGAGAAAGGACTACATGAAGAATGGATCTCCATCTTCCCTAAAACTATTATTAAATACATTGTCCATTATAGTACTCACAGGCCTGTACAGAAGGATGCATGTGATAAATTCCCCTAAATTTTAGTACCAGAAAAAATGTTTGCCCGTTTTTTAAAATAAGTATGCCCTCCTTCTATAATGCTGTATTACTCCTACATAACTCATCATGTCTCCCTTTTGGCTTTGGCTGCTGGAAAACTCAGAGCTATGTTTATTGCCAAAGCATAGCAACAAATAGCTATCTAATTTTGCAGAAAAACTCTACCCCAAAGCACTTGAGTATTTACCGTCAGCTAAATGGTTCCATAATATACATGGCTCATGTTATGAGTTGTCTCAAATCCAATTTGGAAATAGGCAAGGATTAAATAATAAACAAACACATAAGTAATTTGGACAAAGCAGGCTTGGTCTCTGGCAGTAGAAAATACTCACACCTAGGTTTTGTTTGTATCAAATCCCTATTATGCACATTGCTTAATCTGGAGTGCCGCTCTGGAGCGAGCTGTGCTCCTCGATGTGGCCACGGATATTTGGGTCTTTCTGCTACTGAGGCCACACCTGCATTCGTCCATCCCATGAGGCTGGCTCCTTAGAGTGGGTCTTATGGCATCCAATGAGGATATCAGGCTGAAAGGGTTGCAGATGAGCAAGTTACAGATAAACTAGCAATTTATATATGGATCATAACCTTGAAAGTAGTTAATAAAACAAGATCTTGCTGAAATGAACCAGGAGGTAGACAATTTTCACACACAGGGATGAACAATTCTTAGGCATTGGGGTGTGTGTGGTGCATGTGCGTGTGTTTATTACAATGTTCAGCAGAAGACTAAAAAATGCCAAATATGTATTCTTACTATTAACAATACTTAAATCATTTTATAAAACATTAAGTGCTGAAAAGGGCATAGAATATGAAGGAAAGGGAATGAAAATTTTTTGAATGACAGGTAAACTGTTTACCTCCATTAATTCATTTAGGGAACACTGGTGTTCTTTTTTTTCTGCAATGCATAAGCTGTTCAGCAACCTTCCTAATAACAAGGGAAGGTACTAATAAAATGGACGTTGTGTTGTAATGATTTGGATATATGGGTCCAGTAGGGTGGACTCAGGTAATGTTGTCTTGATTATAGTATCATAAGAACAGGCACGGTGGCTTTATAAGTCAGCAACACACCCCTTCCAGCCCTGTGGGAGTAGCTTGGCCCCTGTGGCTCTGCAACAAGTTGGGTCAGCTGCCCAGAGCACCAGTTTATCATTACAGAAAAAGGTTTGCTATGGTTTTTGCAGGAGAGCCAAACCAGCCCAGGAGGAAGCAGGCTCTTGGGGCCCCAGGTATCTTCCTGATCTTAGGAGCCTGCTCGATATTCATGGACTGAGCTTCATTCTAGGGAACAATGTGTGGGGCTTGAGAGCCCAGGCTCTAGAGTCAAATCTCTTAGTTTTAAACCCCAGCTCCATCATTTACGGTTGTCTGAGTCAAGTGGGTATAGACCCCCATTTAAGTCTTTCTGTAAATTAGAAAGAACATCCATGAAAGGCAATTCACCAGCACATGGCTCACAGTACAACTTTGTTGTATGTCAACTTTTGCTATTATTTAGAGGTAAAGTACCACCTAATAAAATGCAAATGCCCAGGGAGGCATACCTTGTTACGAGTTAACACTTCAGGGGTTCTCACCGCTTGAATGTCAATTAAGATGTAGTGAGAAGCAAGAGATCCAGGACTGAAACCTGGGAGAAGCAGGAAACTAGATCAAAGGAGAAAAATAGCTGTGACATTTTGCTTGGAGGCACAGTGGTTCTACACAGAAAAGCACCCAATCGTTGCAGTGATCCAAGTGCAAACTCTCACTGCGGCAGGAAGGTAATTTAATTGTCGGATCCAGTTCACAGGGTCTTTGGCCCTGGGACCTCAGGGACTGCCCCTTTGTGTATCAGCTGTTCCACCTCAGAGCATTCTCTATGTAGACTTTCTATGGGAAGAGACATTAAACTGTAGAGCCACATGTTAGCTCTGTGTTTTCTGGCCTGCCCTAGAGCTCTTTTCTGTATGCAAAAATTGTAAACACTGGTATGAGCACTTGCTATTAACAGCCAATGGAAAACACCACACTTTTCCTCAAAGCTGGTGTGCTTCCCTTCGCACTCTGAGTAGAGACTTCACTTGTAAAGTCATCCATCATTGCTATAAATCAGTCATTTGTAGATTTCAGCATAGCCCCCCTCCCCCGCACCCCCTCGACCAGCAGGAGAGAAGAAATGGCATTTTGGAGATGGTCCATTAAGCTGTTATGTACAAAATGTGTGAATTATTATTTTTTTCTCTGCAGGGTACCCAGGAGACACTTATTCTGACACAACTCTTTTCACCTCCTGCTGTGCCAGGGAGGGGTACATCTGGGGGTGCACAGGGCTTCACACTTCCAGTTAGCTGTGCAGAGTGAAGTACTGACCTGTTAGGCCAGCAGCCTCAGCAGACAGGAAGGCGCTCCAAGACAGGAGGAAAAACAGGCCTGTTTCCAGCAGAGGGAATTCACACAATTTGGTAAATTTGGTCAAGTGACAAAGACACGTTAAGGGAAACAGCAATGGCTGGTACAGATACATATCCTTCTTGGCTGAGAAAAACAAATCTAGTGGTGATGGTTTTAGAGTAATAACAGTGATTTTCAGAGCTGATTGGGAAGTGCTGCCTCTCACTTGGATGACACTGAGGGCCAGCACGAGTTCCATGCTTCACTGGGGCTTTGCACTCTAGTAAAAATGCAAACTTGTGTGCAGATGAAAAAAGTGTCTTACTAAGAGGATATGTCAGCTAACAGTGACTTGGACCTCTTGAATTTGTCCTTGGACCTTGGGGTGTGCCCTCAGGAGACTGTAGCAGATCTGGAACACAAAGCAAAAGCGCATCTGGGTGAGATGCCAGTATGTCAGCACCAGAGGAGGCTGCTGCTCCCTGGGGAGCGCCAGTCTGTGAACAGGTCATCTGGAAGATGCTTCTCTCATGGGGGCTGAAATAGGATCAGGAGGAGCATTTATGCTCGGTGATAGGGAAACTACATGCCCTCTTGGTATAAGTAGGATGGAGGCAGATGTGCATTATTTCTAGGTCAGGAAAGAAGCCTTTGGCAGGCAAAGGCTCATTTTGGCCAGGATTACATTTGGTCAGCAGCCTACAAACGTCGAATAGTGCAAAGGCACAGTGATCAAAGTCATGCAGAGAAGGGGTTATGGGGAGACGATAAAGAATATGTGGTCAATGGGAAAGGGTTACCATGCACAGTGTCCACAGTTAGGAAAAAAAATGCCATGACAAATTCAGAGATGTTGTGTTGCATTTTTATGCTTCTAGAAAAAAACCTAAAGACAAGTCCACATTAAGAGATATTAAGCAGCAGGGTAAGGCAGAAGAAGCATGAGCCCTGGGGTGGGAGATTCCCGGTGTGAGTCTTGGCTCTGCTAGTCACTGGCTGTGTGATTCCTGAGCAACATGTTTTGAGCCTTATTTCTATCCTATGGAATTGTCAATAAGAATAAACCTACTTACACAAGTGCGGAGAGTAAAGTGAGATAAAGTATATTAGTGTCTAATAAAAATAGTATCTGTGTGATATTATTATAAAAGTAAATGAGGCATAGCACTTAAATAATAGGACGCCTGGCATATCATACGTACTAGGTAGGTTATTGATCATTATGTTTGTCAGAAATCAGCCCTACTTTTTCTAACTTACTTTATTCTTAGTTAGTGGAGTCACATTCTCCAGGGTTTCTAGGATAAAACTTTGGAGCGGCCTCTTCTTTACCTTATAAACTCTTCTTTATCTCTTATAATGAACCAATCACTCAGTTGTAGATTCTTCTAAACATTGTTCTCCTTCCTGATGTTGGCAACACAGTTCCCTATCACAGTTGCCCATGATTCTAATCCTCTCTTTGGATTCATCCTATGTACCAGTTCTTCATTTAGGTTTTAAACACAGGAGTTTCAATACATCACTATCCTAAGCAGAAACCTTCAGTAGCTAATTGTAGACTACAGAAAGAAGATAAGAGTCCTTTGAATAATACTCCAAGGTACTGTGCAATCTGACTCCAACTGACCTGCGTCCACTCATCTTTGCTCACCAGCCCACACCCTCTGATGCTCCCAGACACATCTGCCTTGTACCACATCAGCTCCAGCCCCCACACCTTAATGAATATTGGTCTTCTCCTGAATCACTTATCACACACCTTTCGCCTATATTCTACCTATCTTTCTGGCCAAGCCCAAGCCCAAGCCCTCTGCATGTAAATACTGTTTTTCAAATTGTCTTCCAGAATCATAAGGCTGGCCAAGACTCTGCTGGACTATTTATTCCAGACATGACAGACTCATCCCCTTTTGAGTTTTTAAAGTCCTAATCACTTGGCTGTGGCTTAGGCACACACTTGCTATCCAAATTTTATTGGAGGGCTTGTCTTTCCAAGCTTGTCACTAATTGAAGACAGGGTCCATGTTTTTTCCATTTTCTGAGTCATCTTAGAAACTCTTAGTAGAACCTAGCTTTTTAGCAGCTGCTCAGTGAATCTCTGGGCCAGTCCACATGGAAAAAGACCCCAAAATTTCATTTTCTTTGCTGAGGCACTGACCCCTTAACACCCTTCTTCCTTCTCTTTTCCTCAAAGTCTTTAGTCCTTGATTCTTCATTGTTCCTTTTCTCTGTGGCCTCCAGTAGCCCTCCAATTGACATTGGCCTTCTGGTGGTTCTCCTTAACTCTGACTTATTTTGCCCCATACAAATAAGTGCTCTGAGTGAACTGCCCACCAGATCAGCTTCATTTCCTGGCTTAAATTCTCTAGGCACTCTATCCATCCTCCCACCCACCTAACTACAAAAGAGGGAATGAGATGACACAATTGCCCAAATATGGCAAACATGTCATCTCTGCACTGTTTGCATGTCCCCTTCCATAAAATAGTCAAGGGTGCTTACATAAACCCACAGTGATCTTTGACTTGGCCAATCCTATGAGCTAGTGATTTACATAAGCTTGAGAAGGGGGATGAGAATTGAATACTCTGTTTATCACCCCTAGTTGATCCCTGTCTTTTCCTTGACCCTGGGTCTTCAGTTCTTCCTCTTGACCCAAATACAACCAATCCTGATGGCCCTTGGCTGCCTGTTTCCCTAAGTAGCAATTTTTAAGACTGTTGATATCCTAGGACCAGACAGTATCAGTAGTGCTAGAACTGGCCTTGGACAAGAAAAGAATCTGGGCTCCTCTGCCACTGGTACCAACCTATGCCTCAAGGATGATTCAGAACTAAGAGAGCCCCAGTGGCACTATATCACACTTGAGCCAGATATATAGCCCTTTCCTGGCCTGGAGGTTGTCCATCCTCGGAAACATTCCAGGGGCACTGACAGCTCCTAACGGTGCCCAGCTTTCTGCACTTGCACAAAGGATATCAGCGCTGTGACGACAGCATATGCAGACCCCATGGCAAATGAGCCGGCGAAGATCCCCAGGAAATTCCCCACGGACTGGAAGAAAGCTGCAGCATCAAATGCGTTTGGATTCTCCTTGGGACTGTAAATGGATATGGAACTGAAAAAAAGAAGAGGAAGAAGTTTAGTCAGTGACTTCATTTTAGAGCTCAAACACCAGAAGACAGAATTTGGTTCCCACTTTTGGGAAGGGCACCTTCTCCTACAAGGTTAGGTGTGGGTTGGAAGAGTTCAGGGGAAACAGATCTGAAGAGAGAGAGGCAGAGACAGCAGAAAGCTTCTCCTTTCCTTACAGCTCAATCCCATGGCATCCGTATATTGCTGCCAGTCAGTAAACATTTTTATATTGGAAGGGTCGTAAAGAATATTGTTTCTGAGAAAACTAGGCATTAAAACATGGTAGGTGTATAAGGAATCTGCTGAGGAGATAGATAACTGTGAATTATTTAGTGGCCATATGTCTTCAGTGCTGTTATATATTCACAAATGTTCCTGATAAAAAGTGCACTTTTATGGCCTGTGCGCAAATGGGCAATACAAATCACAGCGTGCACAAAATATTCTGCTGTGATCTTGTCATAAACCACAAAGCATTCCTCCTCCCCAGTGTAACCCTTCAGAAACAGAGCCTAGATGATGCTTAGAACATCACAGGATTAAGCCCCGGGGAGAAACAAAACCCTCATTTTCCCACCGAAACAAATGGCAGCAGATTCCCGAGGCCATCTTTTATACCCCAATTCTGGTGGCTGCCAACAGATTTATTTCTATAGAGAAAAATCAATCCACCAATAGGCAGCCTGTGCACTTAAATATTTTTGAGGACATCATACTTGCTACTTTTTTTTTTTTTAACCAGGGCCTCAAATCCCAGGCTGTTAATACGAAGGACAAAGTGTGTCCTATTTTAGTAAATATGAACTCTGTATTATAACACTAAAAGGAACAGATGTACTAGAACCAGGGGTTTGGGGGAGACCAATGAAATAAAAGTAACATTTCAATTTTTCTTTTTCACAGTTTTTATTTTAATATGAAGTCTTTAAAACTAATCAGGAAGAATAAAGTGTTTTACAGGAGGTTCTGGAGGGGACTTTGTAGCAGTCTAAAGAACAAAAGTACACAAGACACACTGACTTGAGATTGGATTTTACAGAGATGTAACTAAATCTTTTATGGCTTGGATGATTAGAGCAAGTTAACTGGCAGACTTGACTCTCTATCTAGAGACTAGTTAAAAGAGAGCTGGGGGAGTGGATTCCAATTCTTCTACAGGAAGATGTGTGGCATAAAAAAGGTAGTTTTAAATGTTCTTAGTTTTTCCCTGGATATTTTTAAACCCCTAAAGTAGGCCAAACACTTCTGCTTTGATGATAATTGGATAAGGAAGATGAATGTGGATCTTAAATGGATTCCTGAAATGTATGCGAGAAGAGGATTGCCTTTGAAGTGTTTTCTTTTTATAAAGTGTTGTGCTTGGCAGAACAAAAGGGAAAGCAAACCCATATTTGGGTTTGTATCTGGCAGTGGTGGGAAAGGGGGTAAAACCCCATAGCAGTTATGAAACTTGGTGCCCAAGGCTGCGGAGCTTGATGTGGGAGCTGACATTCACTAGCTCATTTCTCCATTCCAAAGAAGAAACAATAGTTAGGAGAAAACATTCCTTTTACATTCTGCCTTTCAAACAAAGGTCTTTGCACAGTAACAGAGCTTTGTAAATAATTCTGTTAATTCCTGAGGCTACCGGTAGATGTGACCACTCAGACAGGCGCTTCTCCACGCCCATCTCTGCTCCCGCACTCCTGGTACGTAGAGCAGCATCATCACATCGTTTAGCCACATCCCATAACATTATTTATGTAATGTTTTTCTTTTAATCAATTCATTTTCATTTAAATGCAAGAGCTTTTATTAAAGAATGTTAATGAAATTGTAAGTTTGATGTGCTGGTTTTATTTCTTCTTAATACATGTGAGATTATGTAATTATTAAATTTGAAAAAAAGTTCATCCGTGTGTCCCCTAAAATCATCTGGATAACCCTACTGGTTAGCAGTCTGCATTTTGAAAAATGTTGTTCTCTTCCTAGACCCTGATCCCCATCCAACCAGGTGCAGGCAAACCTCATGCCCTTCCCTGTGGCATTTGACTTAACTGAAGGGAAAAGCTTAATTCCCTTCAACCTACAAAGACTTGCCTATTGTATCTGCCAGCCCAAAAGATCTCTAGGACGTATGCACTCAGTATCTGCTGTGTGCCAGGTGATGCATTAGGTTCAGGGTGTTGGGAGAAGGTAGGGAAGAGCAGAGAAAAGAGAGGCAGAATCTGAGTTAACAAACATTTTATTGAACATATGCACAGCGTATCTGGATAGAGAGGCCTAAGATGTAGATGACAGCTATCTCTAGTCATGGTGCTTAGTGTGAGTTTGTGAGAGGTATACAACATTTAATGGTGCAAATGAGGAAAGGGCACTATTTTAGAATAGAGATTATGGCATTTGAGCAAGGAAGCAAGGAAACAGATGGTGTTGGGGAAAGGGTATTCCAGGCAGTGGGAGGAGTTAGCAAGGCAAGCAGGCAGGTGAGTTGTGAGAACTGCATAGTTATGCCTGGAATGCAGGGCACATGTGTGGGGGTCGCCTGTGGAGGTGTAGAGGTGGGTGGGTGGCATCACTCAGAACTTTAAGTTCCATGTTAGGAATATACAAAAGCCCTCACATTATGCCATAATATTTAGGTCTCTTACGCTGAATTTTAACTTTATTTGATCCTAAAACATTTCATATTGTTATCTCACCTTTTCTTTCTTTCTTTTTTCAATAAAATAAAGGAAAGAAGGGTCAAAGAACTGAAGATCATACAGCTATTAAGTTTAAAATGTAGATTTCTCGTTACTTTCTTAAGATCTTATTGGTAGGAAGACACGAACCCACACCAGGATAGTTGAGTGAGTGCTGCTCTGACTGCAGGGGCAGTCGTAGTTCAGGTACCAGGACCTTTAATTTCCTGCCTGGATGGACCATGGGCAGCACCTTCTTGCATGCAAGGAGAGAGCAGAGTGCATTGTGTGGGGCAACGGCACCCTTTTCCCATCCCACCTGCAGGCGAGACTCAAGGCTTCTCATGGGACTCTGCTTTCCTTCCTGGCTTCTGCTCCTAAGACGTGAGCGTTACTGGGCCTGGCCTGGTCTTCTTCCTCCTTGTATGCCCAGGGCACAGCCTGGTGCTCATCACATAGCAGACTAATAGAATGAAGGCAAGATGACTGGAAAGTAGAAAAGAAAGAAGAAATGCGAGAAGGAAGGAGTCTTGCAAAAACTAGTGGTCTCTTGAATTGAATCATCATTTCTGTGTGTGAAGATCTGGGGGTACATTTAAAGACTGTGTATTTATCTTGTGCATTGCAGGGCCATTCATTGAGTGCTGATTGTGTGCATGAAAAATTCAAAAATAGCCAGTAAATGTTGAATATCATCACAATCACCATCATCATTCTGCTAAGAACTCCCACAAGCCTCACAGTGACAGGGAGCCAAACGCTGTGGCTGAACCAGGCCTTGCTTCCAACCACACAGGGAGGGGATGTGGTTCCCGTCCTGGCACACAAAGGTTCCAGGTTGCTGCAGAGGAACTCCTTACTTTTGCATGGGTATGGAAGCATCTCCTGGGAAGAAATAGCCATAGAAGTGAGGCTAAAAGTTGTCATGTTTAGCACGGAGCTCTTGTCTCAGTTGATCAAAGAGGAAAGGAGAGTCCTCAGTAGTCTGGGCTGAGATCTGTGCCAGCACAAGAACAGGAAACTAAGCTTCAGCTGCAGCTCCCTGTGTTTAGTGGGGGATATTATGCATGTGGAGCCCTCTGGCTTCTGGTGAGGAGTAAGGCAAAGAAAGCAGGAGCCCAATAGGCCAGGAAGGTTGCACCTTTCCTGACTGCCAGCATCTCAGGAAGCCGTTCCTCTGGGCTCTAATGCCTGGTAAAGGCTCTGGTATTCAGCTGCAGCCCTAAGCCTCTGGCTTGCAGAGAAGCAGCTGCAAAGTATGTTTTTCTGAAACAAACAAGGGTTGGGTAGCATGTGTAGAGTTTTCCAACTTCAACCCAAGAGAGGAAGGAATATCATGTTCTAGCAGTTCAGCCCTTTGGACTTAGAAAGGAAATACCTCCTTCGCTATGCTGAGGGAGATGCTTGAACCATTAGTGGATGCAAATATTGGAAAGAACAGAGGGATAAAAGTGGAATTAGACTTTCTGCTAACCTGTGCAGTGCTTGATCTTTGGGAAACTGCTCTGAAGAGGCATTATTTATAGCACAAGTTAGTGAAGATGGACCTACAATCCCTAGGCTTCTGTAAAAGATTATTTGAATTGGCTGGAACGAATATCCTTGAAAGTAACAAGGCCAGAAATACATAGTGGTGTTTAAATATTCATCTCACAAACTGGAAATAAGTCCAGGTTATTGATTCATTCTGTTCAGGAACAGATTATTCAGCAAAAACCAGTTTGAGGACAGTGTGTTGTCTCCATTCTCAGAAATAAATCTGTGCAGCACCTTTTATTAAAATATTTTGAAATGGATAAAATATCCTACATTCCTTTGATGAAACTAACCTGAATAAGGATCATATTGCTAACTATATCATTTAAGATTCACAGAGACAACGACAACTCCAGTGGTTCTCAGCAACCCATCATTTCATCCTTATGATGCTCCTTAAGGAAACTGCCTGGCAGCTTAGGTGGTTTTAAGAGCATAGAAGCTGAATCTGAGATCTGGGTGCAGATTTCAGTTTTGCCACTCACTGGCTGTGTGACCTGGAGCATGTCACTTAAACTATATGCACCTCAGTAATAGTAACTATCACATAAGGTTGCTATGAGAATTCAATGATTTAAAGTTTATGAAGTGCTTGGAATGGTGCTTGGCCTATAGTAAGAACTAGATTAATCATTTCTTAAGTAAATCATCCTCCTTCAAATGACCCATCCCTCTTTGCTCCTCCTCCTCTCTCCCTTTCTCTCCTTTTTGAAATGAGAGCTTGGTTTAGTTCTCAAAGAAGGATCTCAAACTAGATATCCAGTCAGCATCTCAACTGCAATAG